CACCACCCCCAGAGGCAGCACCAACACCAGCTCCAGACCCAGGCTCTCTAGAAACCGAAGGGACACCCTCACCCCCAGACGCAGCACCCCCAGACTCCGCACCAGCACCCCCAGACTCCGCACGACCAGTACCAGCCCCCGGAAGACAAGAGTCCTCTGCAACCCGCGGCTCAGCTCCAACTCCAGCACCCCCAGAACCAGAGACCTGTACAGGGACAGTCGCAGGACCAACCTCCCGAGAGGGAGCACCTGCAGGAGGCGGCGAGGAAGACTGTGGGGAGGGAGGCTGTACAGGGGGGGCTACCGAAGGGGGAGGGCTAGCCTGAGACACACCAGACGGGGCTGGACCAGGGGGGGGAGGCTGTACCGGGGGAGCAGGCGGGGGAGCGGCGGTCAGGAAGAGAGGGGGGGGAGGGACCGGGAGACCTCGACTGGGGTACCTGACGTAGTAGGGGGTGGACTCCTCGAAACGGACGTCACGGGAGTCAAAGAACCGGTGAGAGGGAGGGTGGTAAAAGGTGAAGTCAGAGGAGTCCTCAGGGAAACCAAGGAAGACACAAGGAACGGCGCGAGGCGAGAGCTTGTCCGCGGAGGTGTCGCGGACAAGAGCCAAGCACCCCCAGACACGAAACCTCGACGCGACACCAGGGGACCCTGTCCAAAGACTGGTCGGTGAAGCCTCCGGCCGAGAGACACGTGGCCAGAGGTTCAGCTGGTGCGCGGCGTACCTGACTGCGTATGGCCACAGGAAATGGGGGGCACGGGCGTGAGTCAAGGAGGTGCGGGCAATCTCCATGACCAGGCCTATGCGACGCTCAGCAACCCCATTCTGCTGTGGGGACTCCGGAAGCGTCCAGGACTGACGAATGCCCTGTTCGTGACAGAATCCAGCGAGAATGCCGGAGCGAAACTCGCCCCCGCGGTCGGAGTGGAGACAGCTGACACGACGACCACGAGTGTCCTGGGTGGTAAGCAACCACCTGATCAGCGTAGAAGTCACCTCAGACTTCCTCGCCAGGGGGAACACTATGGTGTAGCGGGAGTAGTCGTCAACGACCACCAAAAAGAAACGCTCACGCTCAGGGCCAGGGCGAGGAGAGGGGCCCCAGACGTCCAAGTGCAGCGTCTCAAAAGGCTCGGTGGCCGGACGAAGGGAGGAGGAGTGAGGGGTGGCGCGCAGCCTACCCTCGACGCAAGGACCGCACGGTGGTGCAAGGGACGGCGGCAGCGACGGCAAGACACGCGGGAGACCTAAGACAAGACGCTGACGAGACATAGCGCGAAGACGAGGAGGAGAAGGGTGCCCCAGCCGGTGGTGCCACAAAACGGTGGGGTGGGCAAGCGACCGACAGGAGCACGACGCAGCGACCGGACTAGACGGAGGAACCTGACAAGACACAGCTACCTGGGGGGACGGAGCAACCTGGTGAGACGCGAGGACTCGAACGGGAGGCAAAACAGGGGCCGGGGGCAGGAGGGGCGGCTGTGGCTGCGGCTGCTGCCGCTGCTGCTGCTGCTGCGGCTGCTGCTGCTGCTGCAGTCGCTGCTGAGCGCGCGGGCGAGTGTGAAGAGTGTAGAGACCGGAGCCCGGCTCAGCAGCAAAAGTGGCGAGGGGCTGGTAAGAGTCCCCGTCAACACACACCGCAGTCTCTCCAGAAGGCTCAAACCACACACCCACGTGCTGACTCACGAGGGGTCGCACGCCCACCAAGTTCCGGGAGAACGAGGGGACGTGAAACCCAGTGAGAGACCCAGAAGGAGCAGCCGGACACGGCAAGGTGGTAGTGTGACGCGCGGTGACTGGTCCCGAAGTGGGATCAGCCAGCGCCACAGAAACAGGCGCAGGAAGAGGCGTAAGTGTCGTGCTGTCACGAAAGAAGCAGTGAGAAGCTCCAGAGTCCAGCGTGAACGACAGCGAACCGTCCTCTGAGGTAGCCGCTGGACTAGAGTCTACACAAGAACCTACACTAGCAACAGGCAACTGAGCAAGGCTAGCACCTAAGCTAACAACAGCAGAGTAAGCAGAGTCAGAAACACTAGAGTCAACAACAGCATACATAGCATGGGGAGTACCAATGAGATCAACTAACTGCTCAGCAGACATGCCCCACAGAGCGGAGCCGTAGCGCTGAACAAGAGGCAGCCAGTCAGGGGCAGGAGCACCAACCCCGTAGACCAAACGAACCGTGTTAGTGAGCTGAGCAAAGCACTGACCAGGGGGGTGAAACCGGCCACAAGGGTGGCCACGACGAGGGCCTGTCAGAACCTGGTAGGTGCAGGGAGTGTAAGCAGCACCGCGCTGGGTCTGACGCAGCCCCGACCCTGGAGCCAGCTGCTGCCGCTGCTGCTGCTGAGGCTGCTGGGAGGAGAGGGGCTGCTGGTGCTGCAGAAGCTGCTGCTGACGCTGAGCCTGGTACCACGCCGCTGCTCCACCAACCGGGGCAGGAAGTACAGGAGGCGACTGACGAACTCGGGCGTCGCCACCACCAGCAGGCGCAGTGGAGTCACCAGTCACTGCACGAGGCGCCTCTCCAGGCCCTGAACCTCCACCGCCGCCAGGCGCAACGCCACCTCCACTACCTCCGCCTCCACCTCCACTACCACCACCAGAACCGCCTTTCTTGCCACTCCTACCGCGGGACCGCGACGCAGTCGTAACAGCAGCTGCAGTCGCGTCAGTAGCGGCAGTGGCAAGTGAGGCAGTAAAGGTGGGTAACTGCGGGACTGTGCACCCGTGGAAGAGGGGCACAGCACCAGAGTCAGAGGCTACCGAGCGAAGGTTGCTCTCGACGTCCTTGAGTGCAGACTCAAGGACCTCGACGGTGAGCTCACTAGGGTGCTTCAGCAGAAGCGCGTCGCGAACGGAGGCAAGGCGGTCAGGGAGGCTAGTGGCGATGAAATAGATAGTAATCGCCATAGGGGGAGGAAGCAGTGCAAGCTGTGCCTCAGTGCAAGCAGCGCGGTAACTAGCGTCGAGCGAGCGGAGGTGAGCGATCAAGTCAGCAGAGCGCTCAAAAGACGCTAGGTCAGGAAACAGGAACGGGAGGAACAGGCGGCCAAGAGAGACAGCAGCGGGAGTAGAGTAGCGGGCCTTAATCGCAGTGAGGTACGCAGCAGCGGTGCGAACCTGAGTGAAGTGAACCTCCTCAGACTCAGGGAGGAGGCTGCTGAGCGCGATGCAGGCCGCAGCGTCACGTGACGTCCAAGCCGTCTGGTCAGCTCGCTGAGTGGCAAAGCGGGCTCTAGCGGCGTCGTCAGGGGCAGGTCCTAAAGGCGTAGGGTCGGGGGGCGCAGGTAGGGCACCAGTAGCGTGCGCCCAGAGGGTCTCGCCTGCCTGGACCTGACTCTCTAACAGGCGGCGAGCGCGAAGAAGCCAGACTGGGAAATCGAGCGGGCGACCGTCAGCATCGAAACGAAGGACGCGAGGGGTCGCCATAGTGTGCAAACGGAATTGGCAGGGAAAGCAGGGCGCAGCGGCAAGGGAGAACGGGCAGGAAGAGCGGGCAAGAGCGGGCGGGTAGGTCAGGTGTGGCGGGCGCGCGGGTAGGGCAAAGGCGCCGGGCCTGGGCGACGGGCTAGGGCGCGAGCCAGGGCGACGGGCTAGGGCGCGAGCTGGGGAGACGGGCTGGGGCGCGGGCCAGGGCGACGGATCGACGGGCAGCAGGGGGAAACGCGGGTCGACAGGCAGCGGGGGGAAGCGCGGGTCGACGGGCAGCGGGGGGAAGCGCGGGTCGACGGGCGGCGGGGGAAGCGCGGGTCGACAGGCAGCGGGGGGAAGCGCGGGTCGACGGGCAGCGGGGGGAAGCGCGGGTCGACGGGCAGCGGGGGGAAGCGCGGGTCGACGGGCAGCGGGGGGAAGCGCGGGTCGACGGGCAGCGGGGGGAAGCGCGGGTCGACGGGCGACGGGGGGAAGCGCGGGTCGACGGGCAGCGGGGGGAAGCGCGGGTCGACGGGCAGCGGGGGGAAGCGCGGGTCGACGGGCAGCGGGGGGAAGCGCGGGTCGACGGGCAGCGGGGGGAAGCGCGGGTCGACGGGCAGCGAGGGGAAGCGCGGTTCGACGGGCAGCGGGGGGGGGAAGCGCGGTTCGACGGCAGCGGGGGGGAAGCGCGCCTCGACGGGCATCAGGGGGGGAAAGCGCAGCGCGACCGGCAGCGGTACGCTAGATCGGGCTACGCTAGATCGGGAGGAAGAACGAGCGGTAACGAACGAACGGGACTAGATCGGGCCGGCACTAGGCTCGGGCAAGACGGGCGAAACGAGAGCTAGGATCAGGCTCGGGTGGTACGATCGGAGAACGGAGAAACGGGATCCCACAGGATCCTAACCTAACTGATACCATGTCAGAATGAGGAATGAATGGTGCATTGATGTTGGTTGGGGTACATATAGCTAACCCTAAGTTTTGTACCCCCTAAGACAAACCTCACTATAGGCTACAACATTTGACAGCACGGCCAGGAACAAGCACGACCAGGAAGAAAAGGAATTTTCGAAACCCTAGCCAGGCCAACAATTCGACGACAAGTTAATTTGTTATTATTTTTATTGTTAAATATTCCCGTGCTTTGTAGCGCAATGGTTTTGACGGTGTCGGTAGTTGGAAAGGGTGGGAGATCGATTCTCTTCGGAGTCGCAATTTTGTTTCGACTGACAAAATGCCAGCTCCGTTACTGTTCGAAGTACACTTAACCCATCAATGTTGAATGATATGATAAAACACAAAACTAATAGCACTGTGGGATTAACTAAATGTGAAACTTTTCTCTTCAGCCTTTTTCCTCATTCTTTGGTATCAACATGCGAAGAGCTAAACAACTTCCCATATTTGTTTCAATTAAAAAAAGAACAATTCCAAAAAAACATTAATGCAACATAGATATACATAAGAATATTAATTCAAAATATGCATCGATCAAGAAGCTCTGCAACCCTAAGACGATTTCGTCGCCTCTTGTTTTTTTTTTGGCGTTGTCTTGAGTAACAGTCGCTAGGAGGAAGCCATGGCGTCGTCGCTAGGCGATGCGGATCTTTATGCGATCCTAGGGTTGAAAATAGAGGACGATGCGGCTTTTCCTACGGGGGCTGAAATCAAGAAGGCCTATCGAAAGCGTGCGCTTGAACTGCACCCTGACAAGCGACCAGGCGACAAAGCTGCAGGTACGAGGAGAATGTAAGAATCTGACCGTTTCGCAGTTTTGCCGAGTCCCTGTCGACTGTTACTACCTTCGCGGAAAATTTTCTGTGCGTCTTAGGGCGACTCTATATTTCGCGCGTCTTCCTCTGTTACCACTCTTCTCTCCACCGTCCCTCGTCGAATCTCGTTCTGGCGCCACTTTTTTTCTTACGAAGCCGGCACTTGAGTCGTTCCACATACGTCGGAAACGGAGGAATGGCCAAGCGGCGCTAGGGCCCTCGCGGGATGCTCTCTTCCCTCCTGATTCAGTCCTCGCTTGTCCAATTGCTGGATCTTTCCACTAAATCATGCACAACAAACTCATCTCCCTCCTTTTCCCTCCGCCCTGCCCGTCCGTTTCCACCAAAACGCACCTCCCCGGCCCCCCCCCCCCCCCCCCCCCCCCCCCCCCCCCCCCCTCCCCCCCCCCCCCCCCCTCTCCCCGCTGCCTGGTAAACTGGTTCTGGATCTTGTAATAAACTCAAATCGTCATCACTTCCTGTTCTGCAGCCAAAATGCCCTCCAGCATAATTTCTGCCCTTTGCAGAAACAACTCTTAACTTCCCTGCCTTTCCCTCCCTCGCGCCCTTCACTCCCTCCACTCCCTTCCCCTCCCCTCCACCCATCCCACTCCCCTCCACCCCTTCCGCTCCCTCCCACCGCCTTGCCACTCGCTCCTCGCGCTCTTCCACTCCCTTTCACTCCCTTCCACTCCATTCCACTCCCCCCCCACTCCCCTCCACTCCCTTCTACCGCCAACCCCCTGCAGCGGCGGAGTTTGACGAGTTGCAGGCGCGCAAGGCATATGACGACCTGCGCGTGGTGCGGCGCGAGCGAGAGCGCAAGCTGGGGCGGCAGAGCAGCAAGCGGCACAACCCTGCCACTCACTTCCACTCCCTTTCGCCCAATTCCACTCCCCTCAACTCCCTTCCAGTCAATTTGACTCAACTTCATTGCCTGCTACCCCCCGCGCTCCCCCTCCCCCCCCCCTCCCTCCCACACCCCCAACCCACCCCCCCCTTCCACCCTTTCCCCCCCTGCAGCGGCGGAGTTTGACGAGTTGCAGAAGGCGTACGAGGTGTTGTTAGACGAGCAGGCGCGCAAGGCGTATGACGACCTGCGCGTGGTGCGGCGCGAGCGCGAGCGCAAGCTGGGCCAGCAGAGCAGCAAGCGGCAGCGCATGGTGGCAGAGCTGGCAGAGCGGGAAAAGATGGCGGAGCGGCAGCGGAGCGAGGAGGAACGAGCGAAGCAGCGGTTGAAGTCGGAGATTGAGAGGATCCGGAAGGAGGCTGCGGAGGCGGCTGCTGCAGCCGCTGCTGCTGCGCGTGCTGCAAGGGGAGGAGGGAATGAGGCGGAGAATGGGGAGGGAGGAGCGGGAGTGGTTGGAGAGGAGATGGAGCGGACACTCAAGGTGTCTTGGTTGAGAGGAGGGGTGGAGGATGGGGAGGGGGGGGCGGGAGGAGGAGGCATGGGAGGAGGGACAGCAGGGGAAGAGTATAGTGTGCAGCGGTTGTGGCGGATTTTTGAGGAGTTTGGGAAGGTGGAGGACGTGGTGGTGAGGGATGGGGCGAAGGGCAAGGGTAAAGGGGGTAAGGCGGGCAAGGCGAGGAAGAAAGGCAGTGCTCTGGTGGTGATGGCGACTAAGGAATCTGCGGTGAGTCAGAGAGGGAGGGATGTAAGGAAGGAACGAAGGGCTGGAAGGAGAGAAGGCTGGGTGGGAAAGGGAGGGAAGGGGAGCTGGGAACGCCAGGGGGGCGTGTGAGCAGGGGGGTGGAAAGGAGCAAGCAGGTCAAGGAGTGATCGGGAACGAGTGGGGATGCTTGGAGATGAATGGGAGTGAGTGGGGCGATTGAGAGTGAGTGGGAGTAAGCATCGGAGTTAGTGAAGGTTTGTGAGTGAGCAGCGCACAACATATGGCCTTTATACCACACCGTATCCTTATTGTGGCATTTCTTACCTTAACGTCGGCCTAAGCATGCTCACAGCTCACATGTGTGCATGTGACCCACGTTCGTGACATTGTTGTTGCCCAACCCCTTCCTCCCCTACCTCCCTCCTCCACCCCCCTCCGCTCCCTCTTTTCCTATCCTTTCCCCTTCTTTTTTAACCTAAACAGATAGCTGCCACCCGTTCCGTGTGCGGCGATACCACAAACCCCCTTATAGTCACGCGAGCTGTGCCTGCACCTGCAGCATCCACAATATGGGGTGCCGACACCCCCTTCAGTCCTTCCGTTGCCGCCGCTGCAGCAGCCACCTCAGCAGCAGCGGCGGCAGCAGATGCGGCAGCTGCAAGAGGCAGGGCTGGGTCGCATGGTGCTGCTGGTGGGTTTGGGATGGGAGGAACTGGGAGCAGTGCCGGTGTCGGTGCCAGTGCTAGTGCAAGTGCAGGCATGAGTGGAATGAGGGGAGATGGAGGGGCCAAACCAGCAGGAGAGGCGAGTAGTAGAGCAGGTACGGGTGGCTTTCAAGCGAATGGAGGGTCAAGTGGGGCAGTGGGAGAAGGGGGAGGGGCAGGAGGAGGTGGGAAATTTGGAGTGGGAGGAGGTGGGGTGGGAGTTGGAGCGCGGCCGGCCATGGCAACAGCGGGTTCGTCGTATCGGGACTACGAGAGTGTGACTCTCATGCGCATGAGACAGGTGAGCATAGAGAGGATGAGTGTGTGGGTTATCGTCAATGGTGCAAGTGGTGCTTGCTTGTCATGTATCTGTTTGATTGTTAAGAATTCAACAGGTTACCTTTAGCATGGTCATTGGTGTTTAACCATCTGCATTGTTTGCTGTCTTGATCTGTTACAGGCAGCTGAAAGAGCACGTATAATCAAGGAGATGCAAGCTGCGGAAGAAGCAGGGGGCGGTGATGATGAGTGACCCTTCATTGCTAGTGGGACCACAAGCAAACGGCTTGCCTCCTTTGTTGTTGGTGGTTCAGCCCGCTGTGCAGTGTCCTCCCTTGTTATGCTTAAGGCTTAATGTGAATCCAAGGGAGAAATGTAATGCCCCTTTCACTGATCTATGGCAGGAGATCCTAGGTGGAATAAATGTAGTATGGTACTATCAAATATTGAACAATTTGTACAACCCGAAACTAACGCGTTCATCCGAAACGTTGTTGGCGAGTCCATGTACTCACCGTCGATGCTCGTTTATTCCTCGTAACATCTTGACCGCTCCTTTCATCCTCCAGTTTGTGTACATTATTGGCCGCTCCGCATAGTTGCTCTGGTTGCTTTGTGGATTTATTGGCGATATCGACTTCCGCGCCCGAGTCACACTTCAAGGTTGAAAGGAACAATCCCATTGGTTCCCCGTGACAACGAGAAATATTTCCACAAGGACGTTCCGCTGTGTAGTTCACGAAACGCGATGCGCCGATGCAAATGTGCCTTCGTCAAATCCAGGGAGCCGATTCACCCACCATCACACCAGCACGCACACACACATCACCTCCTCCCCACACGGTTCACAATTATTGGAGTTCATTCATCAATTGACGACGTCGTCTCTCATTTTGTGAGGCCGAAACTGGGCGTGACGCCTTGAGAAGGTACAGAGAAGAATGGAGGTGTTGGTATGCTGAACTCCGTCCATGGCCATAGAAGAGATGGTGTTTTGGCAAAGCATGGAGACTTTTTTCGTCGTAGTTTCATGCAACGCATGACGTCTGCTGTTTTCGAGCCTGCTGAAACCTAGTCTTCCATTTTACACAAGGAGCAGCTATACACACATTCTTAGAAGCAATCATCAGGCCATCGTTGGCTTTCTCGTTCCATTTCAAAGCAAACAACTTCGCTGACATCTCGTCAACCCATACCTTCCTTTCCTGTGCTCTCTGGTAGCACCTGATTCGGACGGCAAGGCACATCAACCAGCTCATCAGCCTCCACATTTCTGAATCCTCCACGGTACAACGCCAGCAACTTCCAGCAACTGCGCTGAACTGAACCTGCTCAAATCGTCTCGTCGTCGCCACATTGTGGCGTAACGCAGCGCCATGGAAGTATGGGGGATGTCTCCGCTAGCGCTGCTGCTTCTCGCCATCAACCTCCTCCCGTTCGTCGCCATCGTCGTCGCTTTCGCCCTCACGCTCTTCTGGGCCTGCTGCGACGGCGAATCGTCATGCGACGTCTACGCCGACCAATCAGGAAGCGGCGGCACGTTCGTCACCTGCCAAGCGGACCCAGAGGACCGTCCGCGCACTTCGTTCAAGTCGTTCTTTCGCAGCAATAACAACCTCGCCACATTCAGCTCCGTCGCTGCCGCTCGCGGCAGCAGAATCACCGGCGTCCCGTGCAACGCTGTGAATGTTTCTCCTCGTGCCCTTCTTACGGCGCCGCTCTGCCCGTCGCCTGGAGACGAAGGAGCGGATGGTCTCGGGGGATGGTGCGGGTTGTCGGGACGAAAAGACATCCCTGAACTTGTGCCTTCTCCTCCGGCTTACCGTTACTCGCCTCCCGTTTACGCACCAGGCGCAGCGTGGGACGGCGCGATTAAGGAAATGGGGGAGAGGAACGATACTAGCGGCAGTATCTTTGCCAGCGGCTTCACTCAAGGGAGGCGGTAGCGACTGCGCGCGGAATAATGACGAGCGCGCAACGGCCAGCGCGTCTCGAGTGCATGAGGGGGAGATCGTGGAGTGGCGTCGTGAATTTGTAGGGGAACGAGAGGCGCGAATGGAAGAGGAGTGAGGCATCATGATAGCGGGAATTGTTACAAGAAGGGAAGGGAGGTTCAGAGGAAAAGCTGAAACATGTGATGAGGCGTGTGACAGAGGGGCGAGTCGGAACGTGAGGAACGGGAAAGCGCCTTTGAAAAGGCAACTGACGGGCCGATTGACGGTAAGAAGCTAGGGGTAAGGGTTCTTGGTTTGAAGTGGATGCAGGAAAGAGAGCAGTAACTGCTCGAATAAAGTAAGCGATTTGCTGTTGCCTCTAATATTTCGTTGTTCCATGTTCTATGTTATGCTGTTTTTCTAGTCCAGACATTGAGAGGCTGTTCACGGTTGATTTGCGTAGCATGTTGTTGCAGATATTGAGAGGCTGTGCAGAGCGATGATCATCCAGGCCTTTTCCAGCATTCCCAGAATCTCACCACATAAAAAGAGCTCGTTTACTCTCAAAGGCCCACTTAGAGCGTTAGCCGTTCCTGAGAACCGCTCTTTGAGCTTCTGGCTGAACTCTAATACGTGCTGCATTTATTACGCCCAGCAAAAAACTCGGCTGCGGTGCGGACTGAAGCCTGTAGGTGCGGATTTGGTTGTCGGCTCGCCAGCTATGTAGGCCTTTTGAAACGTGTTGAAGAGACCCTCTGAAATTGGCGTCAAGTGGTTCGTAGGGTGAAACAATTATGAAACGAAAGGCCTTCCGAATCAGGGGCTCGTGTCAGATGCAATGCTGAGAGTGAAATGCGTGGGTAGTGTGAATCACACGATGACAGTCCGAGGGCAGCAAAACCTGCTGTTACCAATTACTTCCATGTTAGCCATCTACGTTTCATGTGAAGCACGTCCTGTACGCCACGAGAATGAACCGACCATAAATTCAGGAAGAAACACGGATCTTCCGCCATTCGCGGTTGTTTTGATCTCACCAGCAGCCAGAAAATTGTCGTCGTCGTCGTCAGCTAGTGTTACCCGCTTCTCGCCCAGCTTCGCTAGCGGTCAATCTTGCCTCAACTGCAGAATCTATCAGCCCTCGCGCCTGCCTGCCTGGACTTTCCTTGCATTGCATTGCCGTTTGCGTGTGGTGAAGTGCTCTCTCTACCCTACGGTCAATCAATTCTTTTGCCATTTCCCCTCTGTCTTGGTACTCTCCCGCGCCCGTCGTTCGCGTCCGACTCAGGCGACAGTTGCGGACGGACGATACTCCCTGCTGTTTCTCGCATTCCGCTTCAAAACATTGATACAGCAGCCGTGTTCGCTCCGACTAGGCGAAGCATACTAACGACCTCATCCGTGGTGATCCGTTTCCGAATTTCGTGGTGACGAGAATTTTGTGTTCAGCTGTGAACTTAGCGTGTCTGTGCTGCGAACTAAGCGCGTCTGTGCTGTGAACTAAGCGCGTCCCCAGCTCGTGCGCGCACATCATAGCGCCTACGCTTATTCACCCTTTCACGACTCTCGATTGGCGATTGACTAGCGCTCGTGCTCTTTGGACCTTTTTTCTTATATTTTCGCGTAAGGCGCGGTTTCACGTGTGAGGCATTTCTTCCCACCTCACCTTGGGTTTGCTTCTACTTTGACGGATTCCGTTTATCTTTATTCGCTTATTTTCAGTTCTCCGCGTTCGATCCACTTCTCCGTTTCGTGCCCGTCACGCGGAACGTTTTAATTAGCTGAGGCATCTTATAGCAGACTCGGCGTAGCGGCGTGCATCTTACGGCGTTCAGATTACTAACTAGTATTGCAGACCAATTCCGGACTGCGCGCCCGATCGCCTGCGGGTCTGTCACTCGCGCCGGATATTCGCGAGATGAAGGTGACGGGGATTCTTCTGTTTAGGGTTCCGCGAATGGCGGGAAGCCAGCCGATCCTATTGGGCAGCGCCATGGACGTGTCGCACTTCTCCTTCTTCGAGCGGTCCACGGCGAAAGAGTTCATTCTCTTCGCCTGTCGCACGATTTCGCGCAGCGCGCCGTACAACCAGAGACAGACGGTCAAAGAACGAGGTACGAAAACCAACGCGGCAGAAGCGGGATGGTTTCAATCGTGTGTCTGTTTAGCCTACGTACCACAATCGTACTGGCGTCGTCGCCAGTGCTGGCGTTACGGGCCAGTCCCGTCCTTCCCGCTGTTCCTCCTCGTCTCGTCTCTAGCAGAGTACGCAGTGTATGTGGTGAACCAGAGCGGGCTGCTGGTGCTTTTGGTGGCGGAACAGGCGCAGCTCACTGCCACAAATCCCTCTCGCGCAAACCACCCTCTCCTCTCCCCCCCTCTCCCTCCCTCCCTCCCTCCCCCCCCCTCCCCTCCCTCCTCCCACGTCCTCCCGCCCTCTCCCATCCCTAACCCATGTGCAGACTACGTGGTGTACGTGCTGAACCAGAACGGATGGGCTGCTAATTCTCGTCCTACTACTGAGGCCTCTGAACCTTACTGGTTTTCCTCCCTGTCCTTTCCCCCATCCCCCCCCCCTGTGCAGAGTACGTGGTGTACGTGCTGAACCAGAGCGGGCGCTGGTGCTCGTGGCGGCGGAACAGGCGCAGCTCACTGCCACAAATCCCTCTCGCTCAACTCAAGCCACCCATCCCCTCTACCATCCTCCCATCCTCCCATCCCACCCTCCCCCTGTGCAGAGTACGTGGTGTATGTGTTGAACCAGAGCGGGCTGGTGGTGCTCGTGGTGGCGGACGAGGCATGGCTCACTGCTACAAGTCCCTGCCCCTAAAGCGACCTTCTCTCCTGCCGTCCTCCCCCATCCCAAACCACCCCCCTCCTCCCCCCCCCTGTGCAGAGTACGTGGTGTACGTGCTGAACCAGAGTGGGCTCGTGGTGCTCGTGGTGGCAGACGAGGCGTATCCGAGAGGCAGCGGCTTCGCTGTGTGCAAGAAGGTGGGGGGAGGGGGAGAAGGGGAGGGGCAGGGGGACGGGGACGGGGACGGGGATTGGGAGGGGGAGTGAATGGGGAAGGGGAGGTGCAGCGGGAGGGAGAGGAAGTTGGGGATGGGGGAATTGCGGAAGGGGGAGGGGAGGGAGGTGGAGGGCGTGAGGGAGTGGAAGATGTGGGAGGAAGGAGGGGGAGGAAGGAGCGGGGGGAAGGGTGTGGGATGAGAGAGAGGAAGTAGATGAAGAGGGCAAGTGATGTTTGGTTTGCGAGATACAAAACATGTCATCTCATGCGTGTCATGTCTCATGCCATGTCAGCATTTCATCTCATGTTGTCATGTGAGCCGCACGCACACGAGTGGGTGTCATCTCGGATCCCTATAGACTGCAAATGCGTACAACAGGCTTTTGGTTGCAGATTGGTTTTCGAAATAGAACGGAGGAGCTTTATTTGTTCATGTGTCATTTCTATCTAGCCCAATCAACCAGATCTATTCCAAATTCCCACAACTTGGATGGGAGGAGCTCCTTCTTTGTTCATTCATCCTTTCTTCCTGTCCTTGCCAGCCCGTCTTGATGTTTTTGCATAAAGCTGCGGGCCTTTTTTGGACAGGTCTGCATGTCTGCTCTGCTTTGCGGCTCAAAGGAACATCCATATGATAATGTGTGACGTGCCCTGTGTGTGGGCTGTCGTATGGTGGGGCGTGTGGTGTTGTTTATAGTATGTATGCGTGCCTACATACGTGCTTGCATGCAAATGTGTGATGTGACGGCGCATGCGAGCGCACGTGTGTGCATGTGTGTGCATGCATGCACATGCGCCTGTATCTGTGTCTGTGCCTATGTCTGTGCCTGTGTCTGTGCCTGTGCATGCACATGCGTGGATGCATGCATGCATGCATATGCATGTCTGTGTGATCACCATATCAGGTGGCAGAGGAGTACATGGGAGCGGAGGGCGATGCCTGGATGAGCATACAGCAGGACAACAAGAAGGCCGTGCCGCTGCTTGATAAGCTGCTCGTGCAGGCGCAGGTGCGTGGGTGAATGAGTGGTTGGGTATGTGTGTGTGTATGTTCAACTGTGCGCACACACAGCACAGCTGGATGAGCATACAGCAGGACAACAAGAAGGCCGTGCCGCTGCTAGACAAACTGCTCGTGCAGGCGCAGGTGGGTTAATGTGCGCGTGGGTGTGCGTTGTGTGCGTATGTGCATGTGGGTGCGCGTTTGTGTGGGTGAGAACGAGGCAGTGAGGCACCTGGATGAGCATACAGCAGGACAGCAAGAAGTCAGTGCCGTTGCTTGATAAGCTGCTCGTGCACGCGCAGATGGGTGCGTGGGTGTGTGTATGGGTGTGTGTGTTGGGGGGGGGGGGGGGGGTGTGGAAGGGGTGTGTGTGGGTTTGTGTGTGGGGGGGGAGGAGGGGGGGGTGTGGATGTGTGGGAGTGTGGATGTGTGTTCCGTGCTTGTGCGCATAGATGTTTGTTCGAGTGAGGGAGATAGAGCAAGACAGCAAAGGGGAGCGTTTTCTGGTTTGCACTGTGTTTGTGGTTATGAATGTAAGTGCTATGCCTGCGTTTCAATGTTTCGATTGTCTCTTTCACCAATATCTCTCTTGCTCCCTGCACATCCCTTACACCCTCCATTCGTCATCTTACTCCCTTCGTCTCTGCTACTTTCTCTGCCTATCCCACTCCCTTTCTCCACACTTCTCCTTCTTCCAACCCCTCTTCTGTCTATCCATTACCTCCACCCAACTTTTTCCCACCCCAACTTACTTCCTCCTTCATCCCCCAACTTATTGCCACCCATCTTCCCCCTCTCCCTTCTTCTACTCGCTCCTCTCTCCCCCTTTCCCCCTTTCCCTCCCACTTACTGTGCGGCTTAGCCCACCCCAGGACCCGGCGAATGTGGATAGGATCACCAAGGTGCTTATGAGTCTGGAGCCACTACGGTGACTTATAAATCGACTGAAAAGTCCCCTCTTTCCCCTGCCCTCCCTGCTTGTCTCGTCCATTCCAGGACCCAGCGAATGTGGATAAGATCGCCAAGGTTCAGAGCGAAATCGACGAGACCAAGAGAGCTGTGGTGAGTTCAGGGCAGTGGGGGAAAGGCAGGAAGGTGAGGTAGTGGTGAGGGGTAATGTTGCGCGAGCAGGGGGAGATGCAAAAGGGAAGAGGTCAGGGAAGGTGTGTGGGCTGGGCAGGGCGGCCCACAGGCAACTAGAAGGTGCTGAGTAGGATAGTTTGGTGTTTTCAGCGAGCTGACTGTTACAGGCACTGACATAGCTGCAGTTGCGATGCAAGTGCCGCCTCTCATTGCTGTGTCACAACCATTGTAGCAAGCGTCCCCCTCTTCCATTTCTTTGGCGTGTGTGCTTTTCTGTATGGGTATATTTGTGTGCATCTGTGCATGCGTGGATGTGCATGTGTGCATGCGTGCATGAGAGCAGGAAACAACCATCCACAAGATGCTCAACAGAGGGGAGACACTGGAGAACCTTGCGTCCATGAGCAACGACCTCAGTGTGCAATCCAAGGTATGACCTCTGCACCACACCACTGCTGCATTGCACTCTGCACATAAAAGAACCTCATATCTCTCCCTGTCTCTATCCTTGCCTGTTTCTATTCTGTTAGAATTGACAGCTCCCTCTAGGGCAGCAAAGCTGGGGCTAACTGTCCTCACCTGTCTTTCCCTTGAGGCACCTCAAAAGTCTGCTGCTAAAGCACTCTTCTCACCTGTCTTTCCCTTTTCACGTCCGTGCGAGTCGCTACCATTCATGCAGACTCATGGCCTTCGTTCCACTATCTGTGCTTTCTGCCCTCTCATCTCTGTTCTTCTCTTTCCTCCTCTCGCTCCCCTATCTTCCTTCTATGTGCCCTCTGCCCTCTCTCTCCTCTCTTGAGTTTCTGCCCTCTCTGCCTTCTCTCCCGTCTCTGCCCCCACCGCCCTCTCTCCTCTCTCTATCCTCTTTCCCTCTCTTCCTCTCGCCTCGCTCGTCACAGTTTCCTTTCTCCCCTTTCTCTCCGCCCTCTCCTCTCCTTTCCTCTCCCCCCTCATTTCCTGTCCCTTTGTCTCCTTAACCGCGCATTTGTTATTTTATCCCTCACCACTCCTCCAAACACCTCACCTTGCGTCTGTCTGTGCCACAGATGTTTGTGAAGCAAGCCAAGGACATCAACAAGTGCTGCACCATCTTGTAATGCAAACCGCTCACGCTCGCAGCACGGATCTGCACGTCATTGCGCCGCACCAGAATGCTCTGAGCCATTCTCAGATATATATAAAGCTCGCAGCACGGATCTGCACATCATTGCACCGCACCCTTAGGTATATATATAAGCTTCTATTCCGTTACATTATCATATCATCATCTGTGACGATATGATTGGTTTATCTTTTGTTCCAAGCATAAGAATATTAGCAAGTCAGTACCTAGCTACTAGCTTGGCTCAACAACAATGTCGCGACCATTAGCAAAGATATGGGATGCTTGCATATTGTAGTGGTGTGGTGCAATTAACTAGATGGCAGCGACGGTATAATGTAGTAAAATTTATTGTACATAACCCAGTACGGTTTCCAACGACCATACCTCCTTACCTCACAAATACCATACATACTTAATTGATAACCAAACCAGGTGGCTTGCCAGCCATTACTCTTACTGTACCTCAAATACCAAGTGAAACTTGGTTCCGTCATGCCACATCCTTAACTGTATCAGCTACCACCTTGCTGTCATCTTCTGAGGCATTCTCTACCCCATCTCTCCCATCCCCCTTCTGGTCCAACCGAAACACTCTCGACTTGACAAACCCACAGCCGCGCAGCTCGATGCGGTCACCATACATGTCCATGATCCCGTGTGCCTCTGAGCCCTCTGGGGCCTCCAGAATTGCTTCGAGCGTGAGAAAGTGCTTGCCGCGCATGCACACGTAGCCGCCTGGGTGGTAGTGGCCTGTGGTGGGAGGGGAGCAGAGCAGCAGCAGGGAGAGGGAAGAGAGAATGGCTTCGAGCGTGAGAAAGTGCTTTCCGCGCATGCACACATAGCCGCCTGGGTGGTAGTGGCCTGTGGGGGGGAATCAGCGAAAGGGGGCAAGGGAGGAAAGGAAGAGAGTGCGCCGAAAGGGGGAGCAGATGAAAAAAAGGCTTTACAGATGGGGTACGAAGAGACGTTGGTAAGACCAGGTGAGGATGCGCGCATGAAGAAGCTGCAGATTGCACGACGTGGTAGAATCAAAGAGCAGAGCAGGTGCGATGGTACAGATGCGCATGGGGCTGTGCACATGCGGTTGCAAGTGGAGCAGTGCATGCAAGTGGGGCAGGGGGGAGAGGTCACCTGCTAGCACGAGGGCGACTGGAGGAGAGTTGACCAGCACGTCACAGATCTGATGCCGGGCCAGGCATGGGAGGAGAAGAGGGGAGACACGGTAGACCGGGGGGAAGAGTGGGGGAAGGAGAGTGCTCTTGACCCTGCCGCGTGAATCGGATCTACAAGCTAGCTACTGCTGCTCCGCCCTGGGTCTGCCTGACACACACACACCCGTGCGTTGTTCCCCCTCTGCCCTTCCCCTCTCTGCCCCGTGCCCACCCATGTGTGGGTTCCATGCTAGCAGGTCATCAGGAGCTGAGCCCACTGCGACAGGGTGATGCAGTGCCACGGGGTGCATGCATGAGTGCGCAGGGTGGGCAGGGAGGGATGTTGAGCTTACTTCTGAGAATTCTCGAAAGTAAACTCAACATAGCCCACAGCGTGCATGCATGCGTGCACAGGGAGGGCAGGATGGGGCACGCCTGTGAGAATGTGGTGGGAGACTCACGCACCTCTTGGTGGTTCCATGCTAGCAGGTCATCGGGAGCTGACCCCACTGCGATGGGGTGATGCAGTGCCACCACCACCCTCTCTCCATGCCTGTGCACACACCACCGCACACCACCGCACACCATCGCACACCAACACACATCAACAGACATCATGCACGCAGCAACAACAGGAAGTAGTACACATGTATACATGCAAATAAATAGGTGCAGGTACATGTGTATGTGGGACGAGCCACACACGTGTGCATGCACAAAGGCATGCCCGCACACTTATCTACACTTCCTCTATCCCCGTTACACCTTCCCTCTCCCTCTCACCTCCTCTCACTCATCCCCTTCCAGCTCCCCATCTCTTCCCCCAACCAGTCCCCCCCTTTCCCCCCACTCACTCCTCCGCGTGTCTCAGCTCCTGCAGCGCCCACTCCATCTGAGTGGGCCCCACTGCGCCATTCCACGGCCACCCACCCTGAAACCCACTCACACTTCACCTCTTTCATCCCTCTCGCCTCTCCCTTTCCCCCTCCCCCCTCCCCCCCCCCCTCCCCCCTTCCCCCCACTCACTCCTCCGCGTGTCTCAGCTCCTGTCGCAGCCACTCCATCTGTGCGCGCCCCACTGCGCCATTCCACGACGCTAAGTGCCCCCCCTCCTGCCCCTCCGCCCTCCGCGCCTCCAGAAACGCCTCTGCTGCCTGCCAAAAGGGGGGGGGGGGGGGGGGGGAGGGGGGAGAGAGAAAGAGACAAGGGAGGGAAAGGGGGAGGGAAACAAAAATGCAGATGGGGAGCAGAAAGGGGAAGAAGTCGTGAGGCTCGTGGGGGAGAATTGTGAAAGGGGAGCTGTCCCCTTTCCTGCCCCCAACGAGCGAGCTCCAGGTGCCCCCCCTTCCTGCCCTTCCGCCCTCTGCACCCCCAGAAATGCATCTGCTGCCTGCAAGGAGGGGAAGAGGGGGAGGGGGAGGGGAGGGGAGAGAGGGCGATGGGGAATGGAACCGAGACTGGGATGGGGAAGGGGAATGGGGAACGGAAAAGGGAAGGGGGAAATGGGAAACGGAAAGGAGAAGAAAAGTACGAGGCTGGTGGGGAGAAGTGAGAGGGTGGGGGAGGGTTTAGATGGAATGGAAGTAAAGAGGCTTTTGAGCCCGTTGATTGCACGAGCTGATGTGGGATGTTGATTGCACATGGGCTGGCCGCGAGGAGAGGGACAGGAGGGCTAGCAGGAGAGAGAAATGGGCAGGAAGGAAGAGGGTGATGAGACCTCACAAGTTGTTACAACTTCTGTGATAGTAGTCAAGTGAGTGTGCAAGAGGTTGATTTTGAGATTCTCAAAACAATCAACCCAATAGTTCTCAAAGTCGCATTGACTTCTGAGTCCAAAAGATCGCAGTCCAGTGAGTGTGCAAGATAGGCCTGCTGCTTGCCCCCTGCCTCTTTCCCTCTCTGCCCTTGCCCTCTCCGCCCTTTCCCTCTCTTCCCTTTCCCTCGAAGCCCCTTCCCCTCTCCGCCTTTCCCCTCTCTGCCCCTTGCCATTGCCCGCATCCCTCCTGCCCATCTCACATCGCTGCAGCGCTCACCTAATAATTCTCAAAATACATTGACTATTGAGTTGACTCGACAGTCTTCCCCTCTCCACCCTTCCCCACTCCACCCTTCCCCTCTCCACCCTTCCCCACTGGACCCCTTCCCCTCTCCACCCTTCCCCTCTCCACCCTTCCCCACTCCACCCTTCCCCACTCCACCCTTCCCCTCTCCACCCTTCCCCTCTCCGCCCTTTCCCTCTCTTCCCTTTCCCTCTCTTCCCTTTCCCTCTCTTCCCTTCCCCTCTCCGCCCAAAGCCCACTGCCTGCACCACTCTTGCCCATTTCACATCACATCGCTACAGGTGCTCACCTGATAGTTCTCTGAGTCGCAGGGCCACTTTAGGCTGACGTCCATGGAGTCGAGCACGAGCTGATAAGGGGGG